GGAACATCAGTTAGGGAAGGGAGCGCCGATCGGGGAAGGCAAAATGGCGGAGCGAGAAACTCTCTCTCTTTCCCATTTAATGCAGATGAGACGCACACTGACTGATGAGACATGCCCTGACCAATGAGACGTGCCCTGCCCGACAAAACGGCTCCTGATCGGACGGGACGTGGCCTAGGCATGGCCCACCACTACCGCACGACCAACCACTACCGCACGCCGAGCACATGAACCAAAGCGCCACCGCACGTGGGCGGCTCCCCGCTTCCCTAGGCCAGACCTGAAAAAAAAACCAAAACGAGATCTCCGCCGGGAGAGACCACCGGGCCCCCTGAGTCGATCGAATCACTCAGGTAGACACCGAGAGACAGGTAAGGAGCAAGGGACGCCCCATATAGGCCATGCCGACTCCGTAACAAACGACGAGCATGGGTCCCGGTCGGACATTTCCGACTGCAGTTCTCCAAACCCCGTCACTCGAGTCGTCAAGGTAAAAACTACCAACCCCCTCTATTTTCTTATAATCATTTCATACATCCATACGCGCATTCAATCCATACGCCCGTGCCTCCCGGACGATTCGGGCCCTGAACCGCCCAGGGGCTCAGGAACTAATCATCGCACGTGCAGCGAAATGCATCACAACGCTCCATGTTGCGTCACGAAGCGGCGGTTGCCTCATTCGACATGAGCAACCAACAGAGCCAGGGGAGAAAAACGTAGATGAGCCCCATGCGGCCCTCGCCCAGTCTGGCAGACCAGGTCATCTCAACCTTCTCGTTCGATCCTGAACCTCTCGCCAAGCCCACATAATCTCCATCGAGGGGAGGCCGTTAGGCCACCCGGGTCGGTCTCCGAGAATGACCCAGGCATCTACCGGGTTGCAGGTAAAGGAGTAGTGGAATGTCACAAGAGGACTATGTTGACCCTGTCATGAACGACGGACCCAGATTCCGCTCGATCATACCCGTTAGCGAACTCACCGAGCGCGTCACTTGAGCCCGAGCGATCGAGACAAGCGACAAAACTCAGCCCCTCCGGTTGTGAGGAACCGAGGATGGGGTAACGCACACATCTCACACCGACCCCTACTAAGGCCCAACGAGGCTCGGGGGCTCAAGACACAAAAAGCCTAGGTCTGTGACCCCGAACTCGCCCCTTCTGACTGTGCTCCAAACACCCGGGTCTACGACCCCGATCTTGCCCCATCTGGCTATGCTTTCGGCTGCGCTCAAAGCACCTGGGTCCGCGACCCCGATCTCGGCCCGCGACTCCGACTCACTCGATCCCGCGGCGCGCATCGACGCCAGGATCAGTGAGCTCTATGTCGTCCAAAATCCCTTGACTGGCTCCCTCGCTCGATCCCACGGCGCGCATCAACGCCAGGATCAGTGAGCTCTGTCTCGACCAAACTAACTTCCATGCCTGATCCCACGGTGCGTATCGACGCTAGAATCAGTAAGTTCTGTCTCAATCCAATCCCCGCACCTAACCGCATCGGCTGCACAACGACGCCTTGGTTGACAAAACTCTGTCTCAAACTAAGAACACGCACACACGCCCGCTAAATGAACATCCCCCAGACAGTTCTGCCCGAACCGCTGGGGGGCTCAGGGCTACACTCGCGTGTGCGCTCGCGCGCACCCACCGATGAAACAGAAAACCTCCCCCACTGACAACACAGAAACCCCCCTAGACGGTTCTACCCGAACCGCCCGGGGCTCGGGGGGCTACACCTGCGGGCATCGGCAAGACAAAAATCCCTCGGACGATTCTGCCTGGATCGTCCAGGGGCTCGGGGGCTCCTGTCAGGTTCATAAACCCGGGGTCCCTCAGGGACCGGCTTCCATGCCAAGGCTCGGCCCAAGCAGACAGCACGTAACTCATGGGCCGGTCCAAGAGTCTAAAAACAACAGGGCGGAAGGGTGGTCCAGTCACCGACCGAAAGGTCTGGTCGAAGAGGAACAGCGCCCGCTCGTCAACTACTTCGGCCCATCTCTCCGACCGGAGCGCTCCCTTCGAACTCCAGCCGCCTCCGGATGGCCTCTCCGATTGGAAGGCCTGGCCCAAGCACTACTTCCGACTCTGATCCCGCGTCTCCGACCGGGGTTCGCAGGAACCCTACTCACCGCTCTTCTTCGACTAGCGTGACTAGAGCCGACTGGGGCCATCCGATCGAGGACGCCCGCTCAGAAAGGACCAGGGGATGAACGGAGAAAGCAAGCCAGGGCGCATAAGTCAAACCACGATATCGGGGACCATACCCTGTACGTCTATAGGAATAGTACTCTGCAACCGCCTTGACACAAATAGTATTGTAGGCGCCGACATTTCCCTCTATAGTATTATGGGCGCCATTAACTCCCATACGGTAAGGCCCCCCACATGTCTTTGGGCATCGATAGTGTTGTGGGCGCCGGAATTTACCGTACCAGGTGAACGTGGTGAAACTCCTCACATGCCTCTAGGCATCAAACAGTATTTGCAGGTACCGACATCTACCATTCCTGAAGAAGGCAACACAGCCTCCCACATGCATCTGACATTCTACAGTGACATCAACAATGTTGTGGGCGCCTACCATTATCTTGTACCCGCCGGCATGGGCAACAAAGCTCAGTAGCATACGAACCCTCACCCTCTCACTTGTAAAGCCATCCCCTTTATCTATAAAAGGGGATGTGCTCCCTCCAACGAAAGAGTCTTTTAGTAAAACAAACACCGATCAAGTTCACTAGCTCACAACCACAAAACCGTCGGGTTCGGACCTCAAGCACACGCTTGAATACTTAGCTCATAGCGTAGCTCCCGTCGCTCTTGGCCCTTTCGACCGGAGCCGACCGGACCTCTTGTACACCCTATCTTTCTCCTTCTTGTTTGTAGCCCCACTGCAAACTTCGAGCACCTGGGGTCAGGAATAAAGTCACTGGCCGACCCAAACTGGACATAGGGCACGTTGCCTGAACCAGTATAACCCATGTATCATTGAGTGCTAGGCCACCTCCGATCACAACATACGGCAAAACTACAAATATTCACTAGTTGGTCACTTTCTGCTCCGACAACTGTGTTTCAAGTGTTTCAGGGGTTTTGACGTTTTGTTTAATGTGTTCTATCTGAATGTTGTAAAACTAGATCTAGATGTTGCATATGTGTTTCAAGTGTTTCAGTCATTTGAAACCTTTGTTTCAAGTGTTTTATCTGGACGTTGCAAAAATAGATCTGGCTGTTGCATACATTGCAATACGCATGTTGCAAGCCTATGTTTCAAGTGTTTCAGGTGTGAACGTATGTTGCAAATGTTTTATCTTGATGTTTCAAGTAGATCTTGGTGTTGCATATGTTGCAAATGGCTATATATGCATGTGTTCAATCGCATGTTCAAGTGTTTCATCTGTTTTAAACATATGTTGTAAATGTTTCATCTGAATGTTTCAAAAGTAGATCGAGTGCTGCATATCTTGCAATGGCGCTGGTGGCCCGCGGACAGCGGCCTACCGTAGGGCTTCAACTCCTACCTCGCGCCTCGCCCTCTCCTCTCCTCTCTTTCCCCTCCCCTCCCCTCCCTTCCCTCCATCTCGCTAAGGTGTTGGCGTTGGCGTTGGGGTGAGGGTCGTCGATGGTGTTGCGTTTAGACGCAGGTGCTGATATGGGATGGGATGCGGGGCACAGGGGCGTGGGATGCGATGTGGCGCAGGTGCATGAGTAGTGTCCGGACGAGTCCTGCGGCCGAACGTCCGGGCGTTAGCCCTTTCGAAATAGTTTTGACTTTTTGAGGAATGTGATGAACTAATATGTCAACGACACTAGAGTCCATTCGGTCCTCTGTGAGAAAAAAAAGATCATCCGGTTCCGGTGGGACTCTAAGGGCGTGATTGGTTGCTTTGGTGAGGGAGAGCCGGGATGGAGAGCCGGTCTAGAATGGTGAGATGCATGTTCAAACCGTGCACTCGGTCGTGTTTGGTTGTCTTTGTTGTTGGTCCAGTATGAGATGACATCGTGTTTGGTTGCATGCATGGATGTGAGTTTTGAGTGTATGACATATGAGTCCTTGCGCCATGTCTGAATCAAGCCATCCTGCATGGAGAGGGAAGCGGAAATTGAGAAGACGAAGTCGTGCGTGATGGAGGAGGGCAGATGAATGAAAGGATACAAGCGAAAGGTACGAGAAGAACAACCAAACATGCCGCATGAATAAGATCAGACAACTAAACGGTATGGGGACGGCCCGATTCGGCCTACCAATCAGCCCATAAATAAACTGGTTCGTCGACCAAACATCCGATTGGTGATTTTTTATCTACAATATTGCTGGCCAAAGTAAAAAAAAAGATCACTTAAAACAAACCTTAATTAACTTATATTCTGGTCAGATGGTGCAGCATTAGTTTTTTTTAATTATAAGGAAAAACGTTCCGGCCTCAGCTTATCAAAGTTTGAAAGCCTACAGCCAAAGTGGTACAGCACTGCAGTACTTGAACTGCCCAACCAAAACAAACACAAAAGAGAATAAATAGCGCGTGTTTAGTTTCAGGAATTTGAAATTTGGAGCTACCGTAGCATGTTCGTTTTTATTTAGCAATTAGTGTTTAAACATGAACTAATTAGGCTCAAAACGTTTGTCTCGCAATTTCCTACCAAACTGTGCAATTAGTTTTTTTTTCGTCTATATTTAATGTTCCATGCATAAGGCGTAAACATTCGGTGTGACAGATATTGTAGCACTTTTTGGGATTTGGGGGTAAAACTAAATACGGGCATAGTTCCATCAAAATAGACTCCTCTCTCATCATCAACCAAAAACGATTTCTTGAACTCCAGCCAAACCCCTTGAAGATCTCCATTGCAATGGCCTCCAGACGGCGACAGATAGCCCTCAAGGTTCTCTCCTCTTTCTCTCTAGACATTTGTGACCAGCTCCTGATCCAAGGCGTCCCTCTGAAGATGACCTGAGTTTTTTCCCCGGTGGTCGTCAGCGAATGAAAGCTCGCCGTCGCCGGATGCGGCGCCATCGTAAGCCGCCGCCGTCGCATGGTGGCCAGGTTTGATATGCCCTTTAGGCAATTCTTCGAACACCCGAAGCGCGCGAACCCCGCCTTCCTCTCCCCTCTGAGCTCCTGGGTATGAACCAGCCGGCGAGCGGTGATGTTCACGCTCCTGCCGAGCCCCGCCCGAAGCGCGCTCCTGCGAGAGCCACCGGCCGCCGCTGCGTCGCTCCCCACCACGAGCAAAACCAAGAGGTCCGTCCAGAACAGTAGCTTCCAGGTGACGGATCTCGCAAGATTTTGGCACTGATACCCCTTTCGATCCTCTCTCTTTCTGTGAATATTTCGCAGAGCTGCATTGCTGCTTTGCAAGTTTGGATTAGTGACACTGCATCGCAAAACCTTTGCAGTATTAGTATATTGAACAATAGGAGTAGTTCAGTTGAGTCCCTACACGAAAAGAGGAACTAATGGATCTAGGTTTTACCTTTCATAATCTTGTTCCCGAATTTAGGATGCAAGAAGACGTTTGTCCGGTAAAAAGAGCTCCGGCAAGCAATAAGGTTTTGGTAGTTCGTAAAGAGGTAGATTGGTACTTAGTTGTTATGAAGTTGTTGACAATAGGGGAATCCCTCCAAATAAGTTTTTGCTCCGTTTATTTGTCTGTTATGTTCCCTTGTTTCCTTGAAATTTTGGTGTGATATGGTGAATATCAGCCTGAAATTTTATTATATTTTTACTTGTATCAATTTACATTGTCATGATCAATGTTTTCGTAAATAACCTACTGGCTACTGTTTGGCCATTAGTCGGGCTGACCATTTAAATGGGCTAAAGATCAATTAAACGGGATAAACAGCTAATTAAATAGAAATGACGTACGACCATGTGGCGTTTACACGTGCCAAACGACCGTTGAGGCAAACTGTAGTCTGATATGTTATAGCTACATAATCACATAGAAATGTTTATAATTCAGTATTATCTGAGAAAAAGAACTAAATCTTTATTTGATGATTTTTTTGGTATGGTCATGCAGCTGTTCCTGGTTTACCTATCATTGGGAACCTTCATCAGCTGAAAGAAAAAAAGCCTCATCAGACATTTTCAAAATGGTCTGAAGAATATGGGCCAATATACACTATCAGAACTGGTGCTTCTTCTGCGGTGGTTGTCAATTCTGCAGAAGTTGCCACAGAGGTAAATTTTCTTACGTCCTGTATCATAATTATATCGCTTCATCTTATGGTCGACGTCACACCTGACCAGAAACACATATTTAATTTTGTCCTGTCTATTACAGGCTATGGTTGCAAAATATTCATCAATATCAACTCGGAAGCTATCTAAGGCAATTTCAGTGCTCAGTCGTGGCAAAAAGATGGTTGCTATGAGCGATGAAGGTGAGTTCCACAAAATGGTGAAGCCGCCATATTATGGTGAGCATGCTGGGTGCTTCTGCCCAGCTATGATTATGAACAGTCCCAGAACTATAAAGTTTTATATACAAGTCCTTGAATATCAGTAAAAGAGTTGTAAAAAAGGCGGAGGTGTAAATTTCGATTTTACAAATTTCAGAGACAATTTCGAGGCACAAGGGACACAATGATTGATAACATGCTGAGCACTTTTCACACATTGGTGGTCGATGACCCAGAAACTCCTCTGAACTTCCGGGATGTATTCCAGAATGAGCTATTCGGCCTATCTATGACTCAGGCAAGTCTAAATACAAGCAGTGTTCTTATTAATACTTTCTCCATGTTAGGAGTGCTTCCTGTACTTTTTTGGTACTGTCAACATGTCCCGGATGATCTGGTGAACAACTTATATATATTGATATTTGAGACTGTGCTGCAAATTCAGGCTTTAAGCGAGGACGTAAGTTCGGTGTATGTAGAAGAGTTTGGGAAGGCTTTCTCGAGGGAGGAAATCTTCCAGACCGCTGTGACTGACATGATGATGTGTGCAATTGAGGTCGACTGGAGGGATTTCTTCCCATACCTCAGCTGGATTCCAAATAGGAGCTTTGAAGAAAGGGTACTGACCACGGAAGCTCGGAGAACTACAGTGATGCAAGCCTTGATCAATCAGCAAAAGAAAAGAATTGCACGTGGAGAGGTAACACAATGGCATACTTCAACATTTTTGTAGAGAGAGAACAGAAATGTTATTCTTGAGTTCTTAAATCAGTAAACACCAACGCAGACTAGGATATCCTACCTGGACTTCCTGCTGGCAGAGAATACACTGACTGATGAACAAATACTAATGCTGGTGTGGGAGGCAGTCATAGAAGGTGCTGATACTACTTTGGTCATCACCGAGTGGGCCATCTATGAGATTGCGAAGCACCCAGAGAAACAGGTAAGCACTGAAGCTTATTCTTCACCATGTAGAAAGACTGTTAAGTGTTAACTGTTAAGTGCTTATACAACTTTGGTAACCGCATTTCTTTCACACATCAGGAATACCTCTATCAAGAAATCCAAAAAGTCTGTGGCAATAAGACAGTTACCGAGGATCACCTGCCAGAGTTACCTTACTTGAACGCAGTGTTCCATGAGACCCTGAGGCGGCATTCTCCAGTTCCATTAGTGCCTCCAAGATTTGTCCATGAGAATACCAATTTGGCTGGCTACGAAGTTCCAGCCGGCACAGAGGTGAGCACAACAATGACCACTCACAGCAAGCTAAGTGTTGCATATATAATGTTGGCTGCTGGCAGGTGAGTTCTAACACAATTCACAAATCTGCTAGATGATCATCAATCTGTACGGATGCAACATGAACAAAAGTGACTGGGCCGATCCTGAGGAATGGAAGCCAGAGAGGTTTCTGGACGGGAGGTTTGAGGCTGCCGATCTGTACAAGACCGTGGCCTTTGGTGCAGGAAGGAGGGCCTGTGCTGGCAGCATGCAGGCGGTGAACATCTCGTGCACAACCATTGCTAGGTTTGTGCAGGAGTTTGCCTGGAGGCTCAAGGAAGGTGACGAGGACAAGGCTGACACCATCCAGCTTACAACCAACAGGCTTTACCCATTGCATGTGTACCTCACACCAAGAGGAAGGAAATGAGCATGAATTGTAGACAGGTTATTACTGTACTATTTCAGTACTTTGCTATTGCCTATGTATGGAACTTTTGGATGAGAACTCTACGCTGTGGTAGTTTTATTTGGTCTTTGGTCTGTTAAAAAAAAGCCAGAAAGTTAAGTGTTAATAATACGAAGTGCATTTCATCTTCTTGGAAAAAAAATTTACACGGGGACCGTCCGCACCTAGCATAGTGCAGACTAACAAATCACAACATGTGGAAAGAGAGTTCGGAACCAACACGGGAAAGGCGAGGTAGCTGGTCAGATCAAAAGGTCCACAAGTCAGGAACAATATACCAGGTGCTGACAGTCCGCATGGATTTTTTTAACATCTTCTGCGGATTTCAGCGGCCTAGTTAGTGCTCCCTCCGTTTAGAAAAAAGTAATTACTAGATTTGTATGAGTCAAATTAGTTTAAGTTTAATCAAATTTATACTCAATAGTATTAATATTTATATCTCTAACTAGGTTCACTATGAAAATATATTCCGTAATTATTTTAGTGTTACTTATTTTTATATCATAAATGTTAATAGTTTTTATATAACTTTGATCGAAAAACATATATGGAATGTCTAATTGGAGTCCAGGCGAATAAAATACAACTTTCATTAAATCATCTAGCGAAAACGATTTTGAAAACTTCTTCAAAAATTGAAGAATGGACTTCACCATTGCGTTCCTCTCCTCGAGATAGTCGAAAAACATAGATTGTCCAATTTGGAGTCCGGATAAAGAAATATGCTCCCAGAAAGATTTCATTGCAATCTGTAGAAACCAGCTAAACGGGTTTTCACAGCCCGAGGCTAAATCATGATTTTCTTGTTGGAAACTCTAATCTCATGGAAAACTTGCAAATTACTTGTAGAATAAGTTTTCTACGAGCACAGGAGCACTCTCTCTATTTATATAAGGCCCTTTTTGGATGGGGGTGACTAAACTTTAGTCATCCCCTTTTTTTAGTTAAAGACCCAAACAGAGTGATTAAATAGGTGACTAAATCAATTAGTCCATTAGTCCCTTAGGGATAACTAAAGGGGACTAAACGGCCAAAAAGACACTCCCCTACCCCTTTCAAACGCCATCATTCCCGAATAAATGAAGATTGTGTGCATTAATTAGAGGCGTTTTGGTCTGTGTATAGTAGCTTTAATGACCATTATCCCTCCATCTGTGGGGGTATTAATCCCTATACCCTTACGGTTAAGCTTGGGCCGGCCCGGACCAGGGGGTCTGGCCCATTAGAAGACTATGCGCGGCTCGGCCAATCTGTTCGGAGTCCCGCGCAAGGAATCAAGGCAGATTTGGAGATCAAACAAGATCCTGGTCGGTTAGAATAGAAATTCTTATCCAGCCACCTATGACAATTGTAACTGGTTAGGATTAGTTTCCAGATCTGTAATCCTGCCCCCCAGACTATATAAGGCGGGCAGGGGACCCCTCTCAAAAACATCTCTCATTAACATACATCAATACAATCAGACGCAGGACGTAGGTATTACATCTTCACGGCGGCCGAACCTGGATAAAACCTCGTGTCTGTCTTGCGTCACCATCTTGTTTGTAGCTTGCGCATCTGTCTGCCGATAATCTACTACCTTGGGCATACCCCTAGGTAGATTACCGACCATATTTCGTCGACAGTGGCGCGCTAGGTAGGGGGTGTGCGTACTGCTCTCCAGACGAACAAGATGGTCATCATCCCCAGTTCCATGGCTACGCCGAACGGCCTCACGTTCACCATCGGCCAGATCACCTGGACCACTGGCTCTGACGACTTCATCGCCATGACCACGGAGGAGGCGCGGATTCAATCTGCGTCGACCACTGCTTCATCTGCATCGGCTACGGCTCTGACCACGGTGGATGGCTCCGGCCACGCCAGCATCGTCTTCAGCCACGCCGACAACCCGTCGTCCGCTTCCTCGCTACAAAGGGAGGCAGATCGACAACACCGACCTGCTCGACTCCATCGATCGGGTCGGCACCAAACTTCCCGAAACCCTAGCTCTGGTAAGTTCGATTCAAAGTCAACCTAATGAGCAGGTAACCACTACCCACAACAGATCTACCCGACCAGCTCGGGCCAGTCGTCCTGCACGACTCGGTACGGATCTCGTGGTCACATCTACTCCTGAAGGGCGCTCCGTTCGTCGCCGGCCAGCCCCCGCGGTGGGTCTCCGGCTCTCCGAGTACGAAGCCTCGATGGAGAACTACCAGGCTCAGCCCTACGGCCTGCGCAACTTCGTCAACATGGTCCAGATTGAGGAGTATCAAGAAGGATCAGTCCACACAGTTCAAGAGGGTGGCTCAAGCTCCCCGTCCGGCATCGCATCTAATGCCTCCGTCCACACCGAGCTCCAGCATCATGACAATGAAGGCGTTGAATACGATCTGGATATCCCAGACCATGCCTCGGGGGTCCCACGATTCCCATCCTTCCCACCAAGGCGAGGAGACTTGATCAATGTTGTCAGTAATGACGAACCACCGGCAGTTGGCGAAACAGAACAAGAAAGGCTGGCACGCGAAGCACGCAATATTGATCGGTTTAATCGTGACAAGTCTAAGCTGAGGCAGAAGAGGAGGCACGACGCATACGGGTCCAGCCACGCGACCATAACAATGCCTTTGACAGGGTGGGGGACAAGCAGGTCTTCAGGACTCCAAGCGCCAACGTAGCTGTTGCTATGGCGACAATGCAACGACTACCCAATACCCCGGAAATCCAGGCAGTTCGTGATGATATACGAGCTTACCTGATGGCTGCTATGGCCCAGACCGCAGAGATTATAAATCAAGCCCGGGCTCCATCCGTCTCAGTCGAATCAAGCCACAGCCGCCAGTACTCAAGTCGCTCATAGCCACCCAACCAACGTGGCTCGCGCAACAACGACCCATCAGACAACCGTCAAGGCGGAAACGGTGGTCATGATGGTGGTCGGGACGACAACCGCCACAACTACCAGGATGACAACCGCCGAGACAACCGCGACAATCGCCGTGATAACCACGATCGTAGGGTTAACCAGGGTGGCAATCGGGGTCGCCGTGATGGCAATAACGATCTCCGCCATTCCCTCGGAGAACGCGATCTGCGCGATCGCATTAACCAAAGAGCCAACGATCGTGCATTCCACGAAAGCTATCGCCGTATGGAATATGATACTACCCACGGCCCTCCAGGTTTGAAGCAGTTTACTCCACACCTTCGCCAAGTCATATGGCCCAAGAACTTCAAGCTCGAAAAACTTCAGAAGTATGACGGCAAGGAGAACCTCGAATTATGGGTCATGCTCTACGAAACAGTGTGTAGATCAGCCATGGTTGACGAGCACGTCATGTCTAATTACTTCCCAGTCATCATCGGCCATGCAGGCCACCAATGGCTGGTCAGCTTGCTGACGAACTACTTTGATTCTTGGCAAGAGCTCAAGCAGGCATTCATCGATAACTTCATTGCTACTTGTGAGCAACCCGGCAACAAATATGATCTGCAGCGGATTCGAGATCGCAAAGATGAGCCACTGCACGAGTACGTCCGACACTTCTCGGAGATGCGCATCAAGGTCCCGTCAATCTCTGACAACGAGGCAATCGAGGCTTTCATCACTGGTCTCCGCTTCCACGATGCCCTAAGGGACAAGCTCCTCTGCAAGAGACCTAAATCAGTCACAGCGCTCCTAGCCACTGCTAAAAAATATGCGGATGCCGATGATGCTAAAAAGATAATCATCGAAGAAGCAGCAAGGGTTCCACGCTCCGACCACCCCACACCGCGACGACTACCGCAGCAATCGTGGTCAAAACGACAATTTTGATCGCCGCAACCAGCGCAATGATTCCTGCGACCACCGCGACCAGCGTAATTAGCGGCGTAATCGCCGTGACGATTACAGGGGCAAGCGTGCTCGGGAAGACGACGGCGAGGTCAACATCGTTAAAAAAGGTGGCGGACATCGCAACTACGAAGAAGACTATGCCAAAGCATTGAAAGGACCCTGCCAGCTCTATCCCAAGTCAAACCATACCATGGAGAATTGCCGCGTTCTCAAATCTATCTCCACGCGCCAACAGGCTCCGGATACATCCGACAAGCCTAACGACATAGGGGAGCAGCGTAACGAGGACAACGACGATGAAGACGCAGATCTCCGTCACAAGTACGTCAAGCCAACCGATCACGTCCACACCATCATTGGGGGCAAAGTGTCCATCGAGACCAAATGAGAACGCAAGCTGCTCGCCCGCGCTTGCTTGAACGTGGCCAACGCTGACAACCTCATCGCCGATCCGTGGCTCCCTCCTTGGTCTCACCACGAGATCTCCTTCAGCAGAAAGGACCAATGGGCTGCAATACCTGAGCTAGGGCATTTTCCTCTGGTTCTCGATCCTTGTATCAACAAGGTTCAGTTCGATAGAGTGCTGATTGATGGCGGTAGTTCCATCGATATACTATTCAAGAACAGTTTGCCAGCCCTGAAGATAACCCAAGCTGATCTCAAGCCATACGAGGCATAGTTCTGGGGTGTTCTCCCTAGACAAAGCTCCACACCTCTTGGGCAGATCACGCTACCTGTGCAATTTGGTACCCCAGACCACTTCCGCACCGACTACGTCAACTTCGTGGTCGCTGACTTCGAAGGCACCTACCATGCTATCCTTGGCAGACTAGCGTTCACTAAGTTCATGGCCATACCTCACTATAGGTATTTGGTGCTCAAGATGCCTACTGAGAAGGGGGTTCTAACTCTCTGGGGCAATGTATACGCAGCTTACACCTACGAGGATGACAGCTTCAAAATAGCAGAGGCTCATGACCTCTCTATTCGCATGGCCGAGACCACGCTCGATGCCAAGAAGACCGTAGCCGACCACCTGGAGATCTCAGAGCTCGAGGCCCCATGCAAGAACATCAAGTCCAAAGAGCACAAAGTGATCCAGCTGGTCGACGGTGATCCTAGCAAAACGGCCCTTATC